TAGAATTTAGCTACTGATGCTGTCATTAGTTATGCAAGGTTAAAAAAAAATCCCGAACCATGGTCATCTGAGCATACTAAAGTTGTTTAGAAGATTAAATTAAGAGTTAAACAATTAACTTGTTAGCTATTCCTAACCCTAATTGGAAAAAGATTGTTGAAATAGATGCCCCTGACAAGGATTATGGAGGAATTTTTAAACAGTATAATCTGCATTCTTCAAAAGAAGAATTAATTAGATTTAAATCTAGCGCATGGAAAAATGCATCTTGAAATTACCCGACAATTAAAAAAGAATGCTTTTCTATTGTTAAATGTGTTATCAAATTTCAAGATGATTTATTCAATCAACACTTTATCATTCGTGTTGGCTGCAGTGCAGCAAAATAAATTTTTAAGAAAGATGTTGAAAATCTTTCTCATAAACAGATTTTTGCTAATTGGCAGAGTCAATTATCTACATTTGACTTTGATATTGAATATATTAAAGGGGAACTTAATTGTCTTCTTGATTTTCTAACCCGTGAATATTTGCGGGGATCCTCCAATGAGCTACCTAGCTAGAGGCCACAATTGTGGCCAGGGCAGAGGATCAACTCCTTATGCCCATGATAATATTTATCCGGATCTCACTGAATTCCCATGGATTACTGTTTCGAATAAGAAGAATACTGCATCTTCACACACCGTATAGGAAGGCACATCTTCCACAAAATCCTTTGTTATCCATTTATTAACAGATGAGTTCGAACTATATCAGAATAGTCCCCACAAAGAAACAATTTTATATCTAGAAAATATGGATATCAACGAATAAAGCTTTATGATCATTTGTGCTTTCAATTGTGCAATATGATTTATCAAAAATAACTCAATTACCTTTATCACATAATTGACTAATACTAAGTAGATTATGCTTAAGTCCATCAACAAGTAAAACATTTTCAATAGAAGGATTAGGAGAAATACCGATGCTACGAATACCGATGATTTTTCCTTTCTTGTTGTCTCCAAAAGTAACAAAGCCTCTATCTTTGGATCACAGTGTAGTAAAGAAGGATTTATCTCCGGTCATGTGTTTGGAACATTCACTATCAAGGTACCACTTCCCTTCTTTAGCTTTGGACTTAAAGCAAACCTACAAGATGACAATCAAGTGTTGGTTTTTGGTACCCATAGTTTCTTAGGTCCTTCTTGGTTAGTTTTGTTAGATCCTTTAATAATCCAAATCTTTTTAATTCCCAAGTTTATATTATTTTTGAATGGACAAGAAGATATATAATGACCTTTTTTTCTACAATAATGACAAGTAATATGAGAGTGAGTCATGAGAGGTGCCTTTTCAAAAATTGTATTGAGATTCTTTTGTTTTTTTATAGGGTCATATCCAATGCCCGCCTTGTCGAAAACACATCTTTGATTTCTAAGAAGCATGTTAAGATTCTCTTCCTTTTACAAAATTTTCAAGTGTTTTTGTTAAATCATCAATATTGTTTTTTAAAGTAAATCATCACTAGAGATAGTATCAAAATCGTTTTTCAAAACAAATTTTTTCTTTCTTTAATTCTTCTACATTAATAGATAAAGATGAAACAGATTTCTTCAACACATTATTTTTGGCACAAACTTTTCTAAATTCATCTTGTAGTTCATGGAATGCACTTTCAAGTTCTTCATAAAGAGTAGTAATCTCATATTGAGTAGAGTCTTTATCTTCAAGAGCCATGAGACACAAGTTATCTACTTCATTTTCAATTTCATCATTTGGGCTTTCATCTTCACTTTCTCCCCAAGTTGCTACCATGGCCTTCTTGTTTCTTTTGTAGTCTTTTCCATATTTTTCAATTTTGGACAATCAATCTTCATATGTCCAGGATTTTTGCACTCATAGCAAATAATAGGTTCTTTCTTGTTATCTTTGTTGTACTCTTTCTTGAAATGTCTTCTTTCTCCATAATTATTTTTCTTGAAGTGCTTTTTGAGATTTCTACTAAACATGGCATAGCTTTCATCCTCACTGGAGTTTTCATGTTCTTCTTCATTTGATGAGGCTTTAAATGCAATTCCACTTTTCTCTTTGTTTTCAGCATCCTCATGTCCTTTCATAGTGATCTCATGAGTTATAAGGGAACCCATAAGCTCATCCAATCCAAGTATGGAGAGATTTTTGGCTTCTATAATGGCGGTGACCTTTGCTTCCCAATTCTTTGGTAAACACCTAAGAATTTTTCTCACAAACTCATTGTTTGTATAAATTTTACCAAGAGATTTCAAAGAGTATACAATTTCAGTAAATCTAGTAAACATGCTTGAAATAGATTCATCAGGGTTCATTTTAAACAATTCATAACTATGAACAAGCATATCAATACGAGATTCCTTCACTTGGTTTGTACCTTCATACGTTATCTCAAGTTTGTCCCAAATTTCTTTTGCCGAATCACAACTTGAAATTCTATTATACTCCTTAGAGTCTAATCCACAAACAAGGGTGAGTTTGGCTTTAGCATTGGCTTGCAATAATTTATGATCCCTCTCATCACATTCATCTTCTGTTTTAGGTACACTAATATTGTCTACTAATTTGGTAGGAATTTTTGGACCTTTGATGACAATAATCTACATGGCATAATCAGTGACTTGTAGGTATAGGGTCATTTTATCTTTCCAATGACTATAGTTGTTTCCGTCAAACAATGGTGGCCTATTTGTGGCTTGTCCCTCAACTAAGGTGGCCATGGATCAAAACTACCAGATGGTTAAATCTAAAACAGGTGTCTGAGCTCTGATACCAATTGCTACCCAAAAGACAACCTAAGAGGGGGGCGGTGAATTAGGCTTTTACAAATAAAAGCAATAATACCCTAATAAAAATTATGACTAGCACAATAGATAAATATAGTTAATGAAATAAAAATAATTAAAACAAGTGTTCTAATAACTAGGTTAATTAATGATTTTAGCACAGTGAAAATGTGAAATAGAGCTATGTCAATTTAAATAAAATAAAGAGATAAGGGAGAGAGATAGACAAACAAATTTATAGTAGTTCGGCTTCAACTCGGCCTACGTTCACTCCTCAAGCTTCACTTGAGATTTTCCACTATACTCTAGCTTCATAGGGTGCTAGCAACCTTTTCACAGATGGAGCAATTCTCCACAGATTTTACACAGACTTTCTAAGTCAAGAACACTGAGTGTACTACACTCTTACAAGGTTAAAAAAAATGTGTTTTTGCTTTTACGGAAAGCTACAAGAATTATCTCTCAAAGATAGATATAAAAATGAAGCTTTGGTTTTTTTGTAAACCTCACACAGGAACGATAGGCTTAAAGCTATAGGTCTCAGTATATAATTTCTGAAAGAGGATGTAAACAAAAATTGAAGAACACCACTCAGAGAATTTTTCGAGAAAAGATGAGAATGATTTTTGATCAAGGAATGTTTTCTGGGTTCTGTAACTTGTATAAGGTTTTTGTAAATTGTTCATAACAGAGGCTTTGGTATATATAATGAAACTTATAGCCGTTGTATTCATTTGAATATCTTTCACTCCATCATTACTACTTTTAACTTGTGGGAGACAAAATCATTACTAATTTGAATATCTTCCACTTGAACCTTTTGGCCTGCAGCTGTGTTGGGCTATTTGAACCTCTAGTTTGGGCATTATTTTTGGGTTGAAATGAACTCCTAATTTAAGCAAATATTAAATACATTTAAACAACATTTAGGATAAAAGTTTAGATGAGAAATAATGGGACAAAATAAATTTTAATTCTATTTTTCTCTTTCAAATAAATTAAAACATAATTAAATAAATCATCAAAATAAATAAGTCGAACAATAAGTTATCAAATCATTTCTTTATTTTTTTTACGTCATTTTATAAATAAAAAAAATCAATAAGCCACTAAATAAGCTGATGATTAATAAAGTTAATACTTAAAAATTAAAAACTAGTATTGAAATTTTTTAAATTAAAAAATTGATTAATAAAGTTAATACTTAAAAATTAAAAACTAGTATTGAAATTTTTTAAATTAAAAAATTATTTGATAAAAATTGAAGTATTGAACTAAAATAAGTTTTTAAATATATTTAAGATCAAATTTGAAATGTATTATTTTCAAATTGTATATTTCAATTTTTATATTGTGATGGTCGTGATAGTGGTGATGATGATGGTAGCGGTAGAGGTAGAGGTAGAGGTAGCGGTAATGGTAGCGGTGGAGATGGCGGTGGCAAAGGCGGTGGCAGGAACATGGTAGTAGTGGTAGCAGTAGCGATGGTAGTGATTGTAAAATAATGGTGGTGCTTATGGCAAAATAAAAATGCTAATAAAGGTTGTGGTAGTGGAGGCCGTGGCATGGTGGTGGTAGTAGTGGTAGTGGTAGCATGGTGGTGGTGGTGGTAGTTGTAGTAGTAATAATTATAGTGATAATAAAACAATACCAACAATAATAATGGTGATTAAGGTGGTGATGGTAGTAGTAGTAGTGGCAGTGGCAGTGGTGACGATGGTATAATGCTGGTAGTGGTGACCTAAGTTACATGGACTCGGGTACGGGTGTCGGGTGTTGGTGCGTATTTGAGGGTCAGACATTTCAAAATTAAAAATTGGGAATATGTGGATATGGATCCAAATTTGGATATGGGTATGGGGATACCTTAAATAGTTATTTTTTAAAATATATTTATTATATGAAGATGAGTTAAAAAAATTAAGAAATAACAAATTTTGTTAACAAAATAACAAATAAAATATAAATAATACATAAAAATTATTTTAGACATAAAATAAATTACATTATATATGATAAAATAAATTATTTTTATTTTAAACATAAAAATTATAATATTTATAATATATTATAATATACAACATTTTTTTAAGTAAATATTATATAATATGAATACTATTATATATAATTATATTAATTGATCATTTATAAACAAAAACTAGAGAAAGCGAAGGGAAAGGAAGAGAAGACGGTCAAAGAAGAGAGAGAGAGAGAGAGAGAGAGAGGAGAAGAGAAGAAGATAGAAGAGATAGAGAGAGAGAGAGGTCGAGACCAGAGGGGAATCGAAGCCCTAGGGTGGAATCGGCTTTAAGATGTTGATTTTCAGATCTCCTTCGATTCGGTCCAGTTCGCGACTGGGGTTCGTACTTCGATCGTGCATCGCGACTCGACTTGCTTCGCAAAGGTAAGTTTTAGCCCTCTCTCTATCTCTCTCAAAAACCCTTATTCTTTCTCCTCTCGTGTTAGCCGTGTCCGAGAAAACCATGCCGAATCCGATACATATCTCACACCCGCACCTGTGTCGTGTCGTGTCGTGTCGTGTCGTGTCGACACGGGTACTCTGCTCGCGACTGGGGTTCGTACTTCGATCGTGCTTCGCGACTCGACTTGCTTCGCAAAGGTGAGTTTTAGCCCTCTCTCTATCTCTCTCAAAAACCCTTATTCTTTCTCCTCTCGTGTTAGCCGTGTCCGAGAAAACCATGCCGAATCCGATGCATATCTCACACCCGCACCTGTGTCATGTTGTGTCGACACGGGTACTTTGCTCTAAACCGGCGAGTCCATGTAACACAGGTGGTGATGATGGTATGATGGTAGTGGTGATGATAGTGGTGATTTTGTAATAGTGTATATTGATACTTGTGTTTAGTATTTATAAATTTAATCATAATTAAATAAATTTCATACGACTTAAAATTTTTTCTAAAATTTAATTTACATTTTAAAAGGTACTTAATTTAATTAATTATTATTTAATACATTCAATTTTAAATGCTGAATTTGATTATCAAACACTTTCTATTCGATGCCCGAATCATCCCTTAATATGTATATGCTTGTATAACCTGAATCATAGGGAGAAGTCCCCATAGGTTTAAGGATTGGCCACAAGGAGAAGGAACAAAGGCCTCGTTTAGTGTAATTGTGGGAAAGTGATTATAGATTATGACTTAACAAATTATAAATTATAGCTTTAAACATAAGTTGTTAACTTGTTTAGTGTAGCTGTGAGATTATAGATTTAATCAGCAGAGCAGTGTTTGGTTGAATAAGTTTGTTGCTGTGTAATGTCCTTTTTGCCCTTATAAGATATAAAATTTGTGATTTCATTTATAATATATTTTTTTCATTATATATATATACATATAAAAAGATTTTATTCGTTTGGTTTTTATATTCTTAATCTTTTTTTTTTTTTTTTTTTGTGGTTAATTTTGTTTAATTTCTTTTCATTAGTGGAAGTAAATTGTATTTTTTTTATTAATTTTTTTGATTACACAATATCAATTAATAATATAAAAATTGTTAAAGGAAGTTTGCCCTTATATAAGAATTAAATAATTAAATAATTTATTATAAAAATTAATCATTAAATACCAATTAATAAAATACCAATTATTCATTAATAATTTTTTTTCATTACACAAATACCAATTAATAATGCACTTAATATTCATTAATGGAAGTTTGCCCTTACATTCATTTTCTAATTTATTAATTTTTTTAAATTACAAATCCTAATCCCACTGCCGGTAGCTCCCTCATTCTCTTCCTCCTATTTCCACTGTCGGTAGCCCCCTTTTTCTCTTCCTCCTCACCCCATTGTCGACAGTCGTTGATTGTCAAACCCTAGCTGTAATCACAATTAGTATGAGATCACAGGAAAGAGAGAGAGAGAGAGAAGATATCGCAATCGTCACCGTCAGGCTACAAGTTGAGATCGTCACTGGCGGCGCTAGGGTTTCAGATCGATTGCAAAGAGAGATCGTAAAAGAGAGAGAGATCACGATCGTCACTTTGAGCGATCACGAAGAGAGAGATCGCAATGGTTAAGGTTTAAGCTCTGGTTCAAATCACTCACTGTAAGCAATCAGAGAACACCGGAGAGAGAGAGAGAGAGAGAGAGAGAGACAGAGACAGAGAGACAGGGAGAGAAAGCTTTGGTCACCGGAAATCGCCTTGGTTCGTTGGAAATCGCCTCTCCCGTTCATGCGAGAGAGAGAGAGAGAGAGAGAGAGAGAGAGAGAGAGAGAGAGAGAGTGTTTTTGGTTTATATACATGGCACACCTGTAATAACTGGAAATTGTGAAGGGCATTTCAGTAATTGCACACCCCTCCGCATAATCTCAATTGCAGAAGCTGCTTGGAGCAGCTTCCGATTCTCAGCTTATTTTTCTCTCAAAAAAGCTCTTAGAAGTAGAAGTAGTTTTTTCAAAGCTGAAACAAACAGTCTAAAATTACTTTTTCAAAATTAAAAGTTATAAGTTGGTCCAAAAAAGCTAGACCAAACACCCTCAAAGTGTGATACAAATAATTTCAAGGTTTGGCTTGGTGAATGGGGTTGGAATTTGAGATTTACTCCTTCCATAATTTTAGATTTGGCTCTTTTCGTCAACAAAAATTCTTAGATCTATAGACTGCAAGGTTTAAAATTTCTATTTCAGAAAACTTGCTCCGCTATAAGAATTTAATCTGAGTCAATAATACTTTACCTAAAAAATAATGATAAAAAAACAAAAAAGAGAGACAAATAGACGGGTAGTTGATGGCTTGGGTGATGACTCATTCCGGAAATAAGGTTTGGGCCCCACATATGTGGACCACATATGTGGATGAGCTTGCAACTGGGCCCGGATTTGTGATATGGGCCTTATGTGGAAGAATTTGTTGACTTGGATCCATCTGCCACGTTCCAAAAAAGTGACAGGTTTTTATTATAAAAAATTATTATGAAATTTAACCTGTAATATGAATTACTTAGGCCTCTTTTTATTTTTTATTTTTTTTAATTAAAGAGGCAAACTTTATATTATAATAAAACTAGCTGTTGAGCTGCGTAATGGACGTATTATTTTTTTTTAAAAAAATATTTGATGTTATAATGTGTGTTATAAAAGAATTAAAATTAAAGTAAAATTTTTATTTTTATTTTGATAATATTGGTACTATCATTCTATAAAATTATTAGTTGAATATATATATATATATATATCTATTAATTTTAGTTAAATTATTTATATGTTTTGATAATTTTAATTCTATCATATTATAAAAAAGTAATTATCATATAATAATTTTGTATGATAAAAAAATCCGTGAAAGAATTAAGAAAAAAAATTGAAACACAAAATTAATATTGAGTTTGTAGATTATCTTAATTTACGATGAAAAATATATAAAAAAATATTTATCAAATAGAATTCATATAAAATAAATAAAATTAATATAATTTAACAAATTTTATATTATAATAAAATTTAAATAATCATTTCTTTTCTTTTTCCTCCGAAATTTCCAAATATATTGTAAATTTATAAGAGAAAAATTAGGGATCATAAAAACATTTTCATGAAAATGATCATGAAAGATTTATGATCTTTGAATTATCCTGATTAGTGTGTGGTACTTTATTCTAAGAGAAAAGTTAGGGATCATGAAAAAAAATTCATAAAAATGATCATGAAAGAGTTATGATCATTGGATTACATTGATTAGTGTGTGATACTTTATTCTAAGTATAATCCAAAGATCACAAACCTTTCATGATTATTTTCATGAAAATTTTTTCATGATACGTACGATTACTGTTATTCTAAATGTAATTTAAAAATTACAAAAATTTTATAATTATTTTCATAAAAGGATTTTCATTATGCCTAACGTTGCTAAATTTATAAAACAAGTCAAAAATATCTTCGCTTTTCTCGAAACGCGTTTAGAAGATGATCACGCAAGGGTAGTCTAGGCTAATAAATAATTCAAGAATAATGTTTGAGAGCCACAATTTGTGTGGCTCAAATGGCTCAAAACTGTTAAAACGACGTCGTTTTGGCATGTTTTGTGCTCAAAACAACGTCGTTTTGACAGTTTTGAGCCATTTGAGCCACAAAAATTGTGGCCCTCTACCATTGCCGATACCAGAATATGTATAATAGAGAGAGAAGAGGTTGGTAGTAGTATTGAAACCTTGGATATACAAAAACATCAAATGAAGCACAGAGATGGCTCTAATACCGACAACAAAGTCCAAGATCAGTAATCTTCTGAGCATCTTAACAGCAACCCACAAAACGCCCAGTTTGGCTTCTGCTTCGTACTCTAATGGCGCTGCGAGAAAGTTTCGGGTCGCTCCATTTGGAGGTTCGGGTCGGTCATTATCGTCCTCGGTAGCTCCTCTGGAGTCGGACATGGTGAGTTTGAAGGATTACGAGGAGTATAGGAAGGCTCTGTATGGTGGCATCACTCACAAGGCTCTCTTGGTTGATGCTGTTGGCACTCTTGTTCTCCCCTCTCAGCCCATGGCCCAGGCATGCATCCCCCCCTCTCTCAAGAATTATGTACCCATTTCATTTCTCTTTATATTTCTCTATGTTGGGTTAATTTTGATTTTGTTTTTCAATCTCCTAAACTATCATAAAATTTGTTTTGTTTTGTTTAATTTCATTCTTAAACTATTAATTTGATTTATTTAGCTCTTAAAGTTTATAATTTCAGCTAATTATAAAAAAGAAAGTGTCCAAATTAATTGTGGTTAAAATCTAATTTGATTTCAGGTGAAAAATGGTCATCTCAAAATTTAAACAACTAAACTAAAAACAAATTTTAAATTCACTATTTTGAAATGAAATATAGAGAAGAAGGTGAGTGTTCAAGGTGTAATGTTGAAAAGACATTTTTAGTCCCAAATTATGTGATGTTTGTCAGTTTAGTCTCTTAAAATTTAATTTTATTACTTTTATTCTCTAAATATCAATTTGAGTCAATTTAGTTTAATTTTAGGGTAAATTGTAAATATACTCCTAAAATTTGCTTAAAATACGAATTGCTCAATGTGGTTTGAGAAATTACAAATACCTCCGTGTTAGAATTTTTCATTTAACACAATTAATTGAAAAAGTGAAATTTCTACCTGTTCACCTATACAATAATAAAATTATTTGAATTATTAATTAAAATAAACTTTTAATGTTATTATAAATTATTAATTAACTTGATGATTTATTAATAAAATGAGATATTTTTTATCAAATTAGAAACCTTAGGGGCATAATGTAATTTCTAAAACCACAGGGGTAATTTGTAATTTAAGTAAACTTCATGTGTGTTTGTAATTTACCCTTAATTTTAACATCCGTTTACATTGATAACGAGAACCATATGAATAAAAACAGTTTTATTTAAGTTTCGATTTTATTATTTTGATCATCAAAATTGTCAATTTCAGTCTGTTTGGTCCTGTTTACCTTGCCATACACAACATCTTTCACATTTCTCTCTTCTTTTTGTTAGTAACTCAAACTCCAAATCATGATCATCATAAGAAATAGATTAAGAGATCATTTGGGATGGGCTAATATAATTAAAAAGTTATGAAAAAAAGTCAAAAATTCATTCTCGTTCTCTACCTTTTACACAATGTTTTTTGTTTTTTTTGTTTATTTTTTTTTTTTTTGGTAAAAAAGTAAATGTTATTCCAAACATTTCAATTTTTTTACCTCACATTTTAGCCAAAAAAACTAAAATAATCAATTCCCAAACTAACCCTAATTAAAGTTGAGAGTAGCGGCTGATAGATGAAATTTGATTAATCTAGAAAGGTGTTATAGTCATTTAACCATTTCATTTGACGAAGGTAGCTAACAAGGGATGTCAGTGTAATTTTAAGGATCAAAGGGAGTGACACTGATATTTCAAAATAAAAAATAAAAACAAAGAGGGGCCTTCATGTAATTTACTCTAAAAACAAGGATACAATACTTTTCTCGTTATCAATATAGACGGACGTTAAATGATATGATCAAATTGACTCAAATTGACAATTTCGAGGACAAAAATGACAAAATTGAAATTGAAGGGACTAAAATGACAAGGAACACAACACATATTTTAGAGACTAAAACTGTATTTTACTTTTATTCCTCATTATTAATGTAGACAAACGTTAGAGTTAGGACTAAATTGATTCAAATTGACAACTTTGAGGACCACCGAGTTGAATAAATTTATAATTTTACCCTTAAAACTATGACACATGTCACTTATGTACATATTTTTCATAAAAAAAAAAATGAATAGTTGTAATTAATTATACTAAATTGAGACAAAATCATAAATTTCAGGGTCAAAATAATGCCAACTAAAACAGGGACTAAGATGATAGGACCAAAATATAAGGAGGTGTTCATGGGTCGGTTTGGTTCAGTTTGGCAGTAAATTTAGAACCAACCCAATTGTACGAGCGGGAAATTATCTTCTCGTATAATCCTGTTGATCAAGTTTGCATTCCTCCAAACAATGTTGCTTTGCCACCTGAAAACACAAACGTGAACTAACCGGCAGGTGTGTGCCGGAAACCTCTCCGATGCCTAAGTCAGCAACTAGACAATAGACAATAAGTTCTATGTATTTTAGAGTAAGAATTGGGATACTTGTACAAAGGTCTGGTCATGAGCTTTTATAGACTCTGCTTGGCACAATCCTAGTAGGATTCTAACTCTCCTTATAAGAGTCCTTCTAGGAATCACACACCCTACTCACTACCAACCAAGTGAGATGGTTTGCACAAGCCTAGTAGGACTTTACTCTCCTTAGCAGAGTCTTCCTAGGAGTCACACTCCTACTCACTGCCAACCAAGTGAGATGGTTACCTCCTTTATATAAGCTCCTGCAACCACACTGGGCTAAGTTACCTCAGTCACACATTTAGGTAATGATGTAGATGGCGCCTGACCGAGCTATACCAAGACCGGCCGAGCTACCCCATGCCCGACATCCTTTCTCACCAATACCTCGACTAACCACCAGGCCCACTTATTTCGGCTAACCCCTTTACCTCAGCTGACATCTTTACCTCGGCCCATAGTTCGGCCCAAACCCGAAATATGAGATATCTTCTTGGCCTAAGATAGAGCTACACCAGCCCTTATCTCCGCCCATTACGCGGCCCAACTCCCAAAGAAGACTCTTCCTAGCTCAGCCCAATTTGTTTGCAAATTACCCTCTCAATTGCCTCTTAATTCCATCTGCGTAGCATGATTTTGATTATTTTTTCTCCAGCCAGGCTAAGAATGCCCCATTCTGCCGAGCTAAAAAGTTTGTTCGGTTTCACAGCTTGTTCGGCCCCAATAAGCCTTGTCAGTTGCTCAACATGTCTTTCCACTAATCTGGTACGGCATCATTCCCAGGATACATGGTGTGCCCCCATTATCCTTGTTCTCATGTTATAACCGTCATATACCTCCAAAATTTTGAACAACCCCTGCTTTTTTGCCTGTAACATATTTATCCTTCGAGTTTGTAATTGTACGGCGAGTCGCTCTTTCTGTGTCTCGCCGAGCAGACTTAACTCGGTTTACACTAACCCTGCCAACCTTCTTTGGACGAGTTAACCATCTCGGTCCAAGCATTCAAAAATATGTCGGTCAAACCTACCAGCTTGCTTTGGCCGAGGTACGCATCTTGGTTGAAGAATCCAAAAAACTTTGTTGGTCAAACCTGCCAACCTTCTTGAGTCGTGATCCTTATCTCAGTTGAAGAAAAAATGTGTTGGTCAAACCTGCCAACCACCTTTAGCCTAGATCCTGATCTCGGCTAAAGGGTGCAAAAAAGTTTTTGTTGGTCAAACCTATCAACTGCCTTTAGCCTAGATCCTGATCTCGGCTAAAGGGTGCAAAAAAGTGTTGGTTTTTCCAGCAAACCTCTTCAGCCTAGATCCTGATCTCGGCTGAAGAGAACTCTGTGTTGGTTATTCCGGCCAACCTAGAGCCAAGTGTTTGGTTATTCTTGCTAAACTTCTTCAGCCTAGATCCTGATCTTGGCTTAAGAGAGCTCAACGTTGGTTATTCCTGCTAACCTAGGGCGAAGTGTTGGTTATTCCGGCCAACTTCCTGCAGCCTAGATCCTTATCTCTGCTTAGGAGAGCTAAATGTTGGTTATTCCTGCCAACCTTCTTCAATGCGGATCCTTATCTCGGCTGAAGAAGAGCTAAATGCTGGCCAATCCTACCAAGCTTCTTGATTGCCCCCCAGTCGGGCAAAGACTTGTTAGAAAGAGTTGGCCAATCCTACCAACCTTCCCATTTGCCCCCCAGTCGGGCAAAGACTTTTGCGTGGTCAATCCTACTTGTTAACCATGTTAACTCTGGCCAAAAAGTTTTTTGTCTGGTATCCCTGTTGCGCTGGACTCTACCTTGGTGCGCCACCCATCTTCCTCTACCCTGATGTGTTGGTGTACTCTCATTGAATCCCTCAACTTATTACCAGTCGGCAAACCTCGTTTGTACTGTGCGATAGCTAGGTTTGTAAGGCAATCTCCAATCTGATTAAAAGTCTCCTAATACCGGTTATTGTATGACCTCAATGTTTCTTTCTCGCCCATGTCTATACAGAGAAGCTGCTCAATTTCCACTGGTGTCTTAATGTTCGTTCTGAATCTAGTCACAAATGCCTTCGCTAGTTGCGCCCACGAAGCTATGCTACCTTCTGGCAACTTTTCAAACCACATTAAACCCAGGTCACCAAGGATGGAAGGAAACAAGATACACATTAGAGCCTCGTTTCGTTGATACACGGCCATAACCTGGTAAAAGTGGCTCAAGTGTATGTAGGGGTCCGACTTCCCCTCATAAGTAGTGAATTTGAGCAGGTGGAAGCCTGAGGGTAATGGTGCGTTCTCTATTACCAGAATGAACGGTGAGCTCTGCAACTTTGCTAACGCTTTGTCTGCTGGTTCATAGGCAAGGCGTGGCTTTGGAATTCCAACCTCGACACTCCCAGGTGTTCTTGGAGCCAATCGTTGTAGTGTGGAGACTCTGCTGGGGTCGCGAACCTGAGTGTCTTCTCTCATTCAAGCCCTTTCAGTCCTCATTCTCTCAGGCCTGGAGTAGAGTGTCCTGGAAGTCTTTGATTGTGTATCGTCTGACCTGAGGCTTCTACTTTTAGTTTGTGATGGTGTGACTTGTCTGTCACGATATTCTGAGTGGCAAGAGTGTGTGTTGCCTTTGCACTCCTCTTTTGCTGCCACCCCTTTGCCTTTTATCTGGCTCTTCATAGACTTTATGTCAGCCGCCATTCTTCTTATTACTTCGTCTTGCTCCCTTACGCGATCTTCGAGAACCTGAGGATCCATCTTCCGCCTCTGTCTATCAAGGCTTTGAGAGCGATGTGGACTTAAGCCCGTCTTTCTCTCGCTTCTCTCCGCGGATTCCTTCGTTGGGGATCTAATTCCGCCATGGGTGGGATAGAAGGTAAACCTTCGCATCTCCCACCCCCTTCCGGTGTTTGCCCATCAATAGTAGATTGCGGCAAGTCTTCATTGTGCGCCATTGCTTTCAACTAGAGAGGAAAACTTGATCAAGAGGTTTTGCTCTTTGTGAAATTCCCACAGACGACGCGAATTGTACGAGCGCGAAATTATCTTCTCGTATAATCCTGTTGATTAAGTTTGCACTTTTCCAAACAATGTTGCTTTGTCACCTGAAAACACAAACGTGAGCTAACCGGTGGGTGTGTGCCGAAAACCCCTCCGATGCCTAAGTCAGCAACTAGACAATAGACAATAAGCTCTGTGTATTCTAGAGTAAGAATTGGGATACCTGTACAAAGGTCTGGTCATGAGCTTTTATAGACTCTCCTTGGCACAATCCTAATAAGATTCCAACTTTCCTTATAAGAGTCCTTTTAGGAATCACACACCCTACTCACTACCAACCAAGTGAGATGGTTTGCACAATCCTAGTAGGACTTTACTTTCCTTAGCAGAGTCCTCCTAGGAGTCACACTCCTACTCACTGCCAACCAAGTGAGATGGTTACCTCATTTATATAAGCTGCTGCAACCACACCGAGCTAAGTTACCTCGGTCACACACTTAGGTAATGATGTAGATGGCGCCCGGCCGAGCTATACCAAGACCGGCCGAGCTACCCCAAGCCCGACATCCTTTCTCACCAATACCTCGGCTAACCACCAGGCCCACTTATTTCGGCTGACCCCTTTACCTCGGGCCATAGTTCGGTCCAAACCCGAAATATGAGATGTCTTCTTGGCCTAAGACCGAGCTACACTAGCCCTTATCTCGGCCCATTACGCGGCCCAACTCCCAAAGAAGACTCTTCCTAGCTCGGCCCAATTTGTTTACAAATTACCCTCTCACCAATCATGATCGGTTCCAAAATTTTGTATTCAGAACAAAACCAATCATGCACTAGAACCAACCCCACCCTACCCAACCCAACCAATATTAGTTCATGTTGGTTTGGGTTAAAACCACGGTTCCACTATATTAAAAATAAGTGAATCAATCAATAATAAATAATTAAAATAAACAAGTCTTTAATATTTAAACATAATACAAATGAAAAAAATTATTTAATGCAAATCAATACAAATTAAATGCAACCCAAACTTAAACATAAGCAATATCAATAAAATCCATTAATACAACCAATACAAATTGAATAGATTACAAAATTGACTCAAACTTCTAGTTCTTCCTTTGTTCACTTAAAAATTCATGTATGCGGAAAATTATTAGGTGCAATAAGTCCATTGTAATAGACCAATTAATATAAAAAAAAATTCAACAAAAAAATGTATATATATAAATAGGTTCGGTTGTTGGATTGGTTCGGTTTAGGCAAGGCCTAAACCAAGAACCAACACAATCCTATTGGTTTGATAATTTGAAGATCCAGAACCAAACTAACGCACTCAAAAACCAACCCAACCCAACCCAAAGAGGTCGGTTTGGTTCGGTTCTTCGGTTCACTAGTTAATTTGAACACCCCTAGGAACTACCGTCGTAACTTGCTCTAGAAAATATGACAATAGTTTAGAGGATAAAGTTGAAATTAACCTCTCTACATTCAGAATTCATATATTTGTCAATGTAACTTACTTTCTCTATATACATATATATATATATATATGCATTAAATATATCTCATTGCTTTCTCTTTCTTAATGTCTTTATGTTGCAGATCTATAGACAGATTGGTGAGAAATATGGCGTTCAGTACTCAGAAACTGAGATATTAAACAGATATAGGAGGGCTTATGAGCAACCTTGGGGTAGATCTCGACTCAAGTGATTTATTGTCCTTGACAAGTTTGAACATATCATTGCTAGTTTCTGAATTAATTTAGTTTGCATGGTTGGATATTTTGGGAGTTACATAGAGGATTAAATGTGATTTTTGATGACCCATAGTTGATTCATTTTTGTATGACATCAAAAGCAAGAATAATAAATTTCTTTTGTTTAAGTTATGATAATTAGAGAGGTGGGTTCTGTGTTTCAATTGCATCTAATTGTGTATTATGATTATGACCATTTTTTGCTTTATATAAGGGTATGCTCTCTTTTTCACCCATTATAGGTTTCCTATTCTAACCATTAAAACAGAGAAATATGTAACTTGAACGTTATTAATTAGCTGATTTTATACCAAGCTTGTCCTTTTATTCTCTAATACAGTACTAGAGTAATTAAAGCTTTTTGGGATATCCATGTTGATTGAACATGTATAGAATCATTCAATTCTGCTATTTCGGAGGAGCCGGAATTTTCTTATGGTAAGACATGGGTCACAATTTTTTATATATAGGTCTCGAAACTAATTTAATCTTTAAGTGTTGTGGGTTTTTTTTCCAGAGAAAGCAAATTTTACATTTGAGGACTTTCTTATCTTTTCGTTTACTAGCTGGACTCAATTTGTCACCCTCAATAAAAGAGTCATTTATGTATTCAAAAAGTTGCTTCGTTGTTATTTTAATATTTTTTTTTGGTGATTATAGTTAATTTATCTATGTTGAGCTTGCATATAGTTGCTACACAAAATTGAACTTGTATTTCATAAACTTATCTCAAAGGTAAATAAGTGGCAAGATGAATCCGTAAGTAAATCACTCGCTATTAGCTTTGGCTTTTAGAGTACTAGTTGTCTGATTACATGGTGATAGAGCCAGTAGGATCTTTATCAATTTGAAATCCTTCCTGGACCTTGGTTAGGTAAATCTCTTTTGTGAATCTATGTTACATGGACTTGGGTACAGGTGTCCGATGTGTGGATGTGTTTCTAGGGATCCAAATCTCAAATTTAAAGGCACACGGACTCGGCATAAAAAGGGTCATATTTATATATTTTAAATTGTTTATGTGAGATAAAATTATGTTGTTATATGTAACATTAACGTACATTGTCAAAAAGGTATTTTATGCCTTTTATAACTATTATACAACAAAATATATACATAATGATAGTGTTAAATACAAATATTATTAAATATATAAGTGTTTTGATAGAAAGTATGAGACACATAGCACACACCCTTGTCAAGGTGTGTTTGATTTAGTTTTAAGAGTCCAAGTAACATAGATGTGCATGCTTCACTCATGAGGGGTATGGTAAAGTTTGAGGGGCACACGGTGAAATAAATATATGAATCACATCATTCTATATGGCTTAAACTTTTACAGTAATCGGTTTTTAATATTAGTTACTTTATTATCGCTTATCAAGATTTCATCTTGCACGGACTTCCTGGATATATAAGATGCTATTTCTAGACTTTCTAATTGAAATTCTTCTAGGGCATTTTGTCATTTCAACTCTCAGGACATTTTAGACATTGTTCCCCTTAATTAGTATACAATAATACAAGTAGTAAAAAAGTTTCATCCCCCTTTTCTACGAAGGTAAAAGTTTTCTCCATTAATATTTTGCTAAATATTATTTTCTTCTAATAGGCGATTAACAATTTATAAAAGTGTGTTTACTAAATTGTAGATATGTTAACGATGGGAGACCATTCTGGCAATATATAGTCAGTTCTTCAACTGGCTGTTCGGATTCTCAGTACTTTGAGGAGTTGTACAATTATTATACCACTGAAAAGGTTAGCTTTGAGGCATTGATTGGTTACAATTATTTTGGGGTTATTGAATGCATTTTTTCTCCCCGTGGTATAAAAAGTGAGGTAAATACTTCCAAAATGCTAACCAAACCTTGTCTGATATATTAATTGACACTTATACTTTTACCATCTTAATTTTAATTTAATTTTCAAATGTTCTATCCAAAGGCATGGCACCTCTGTGATCCTGATGCGGAAAAAGTATTTAAGACCCTAAGGAATGCAGGTGTAAAATTGGCTGTTGTGTCAAACTTTGACACTCGATTGAGGCCTGTTTTGCGGGCCCTGAATTGTGATTACTAGTTTGATGCTGTGGCAGTATCAGCTGAAGTAAGTATTGATCTATTTATTTTTTACTTTCATTCGTCCTATGGCATTGTTCAATTTCTCTCTTTTCCCATGAACAGGTTGCAGCAGAGAAGCCAAATCCCACCATATTTATAAAAGCTTGTGAGTTGTTGGGAGTAAAGCCTGAGGATGCTGTTCATGTGGGGGATGATCGTAGAAACGATATATGGAGTGCCAGAGATGCAGGTTGTGATGCTTGGCCATGGAAAAGTGATGTACATTCCTTCAAAGAGGTATCATTAACAACTTCACTTCTATTGCTTGCTAGCAAACTACATGAGCCACATGCCTTTTTGCTATGCATCTCTCTCTCTCTCTCTCTTTCTTTCTCTCTGTGCATTTAGCAACTGTTTTCTTTTAACTTGTTACAGCTTCAGAATTCAATTTGCTTTTGTTGCATTTATGTATGTTAAATAGCTAAAAGACCCACAAGCCCCTGCGGGGAGATCACTCAAAACTCTAAAGCTACATGATTATGTTATTTTATTTTGGATTGGGAAAAATGGTAAAAATTTATGTGGCTATGTTATACATATATTTTTGTAGGTTATATTGGGCTAGATAGTTTTGAATAATACTGATACAAGAACTTTGATAAGGTGCAATTGTATTTCATATTCTGCTATGGAGCACAGTGATGTACTAAAATAAAAGAGGATATCTTTTCGAATGTAGTGTTGTGTTGGTGTCAGTTACATGTCCAATACATGTTCAACATAGATAGGCAAATTTATCGCATGGTTATTGGGTGTTTTTACCTTGGTCTCACCAAAAGTGGGGTCAAGGGGTTAATCTTAATAAAATAAAATAAATAAATAAATAAAAGATAGGCAAATTTATGAGAATCTAGTGTGGATTTAACCCATGGCTTTGTGCCACAGTGGTATGGTCTACAATCCCTATAGTGGACATTGTGGGTTCGAGGTTCATGTGGTGTTGGGGCTGATCTTTTTTCCCTTTCTCCTTAGATTAGGCTAGTGTAGGTTCTAATGAGTGACGAAAAAAAAAAAAAAAGAGTGAATTTAAGTGATTATAAACAAAACAAAATTTGGAAAATAGTTGTGAGGATACAATACATATCATGTTTTATGATGGTGAACTGTGGTGGCTAAATTTTTCAATGTGGTGAACTTTTATTTACAAGGTGTACATGGTGTGTGCTGAGATTCACAAGGCTGCTGCTAAACATTTGGGTACCATTTGGCAACGTTTACAGTTTACTATTTTTTATTTACAAAAAACATTAAGCATGCTTATATTTATTTTGGATAAAAACAGTTGAGGGAGGTGTTGGTCGAAGGTAGTTGACGGAGGAGGTCATTAGTGATGGTAGCCAATAGCAGGGTGGGTTTAGAGTGGATTTGTCATCCTCCACCCCCACCCCCACCCTATATCATATCGGGGGCACGGCGAGAGAACCGCGGGGGCGGGTTAACTTTGTTGCTTTAAAAATAAAGAAGTCAATAAAAATTAAAGGTAATATAGTATTATATATAATGATTTATAATTAATGAGAGTCAAAAGATGTAATATGATAAATAAATGAGTGAGAATGAATATTAAGTATAATATTTTAATATTTTAATTTTATTATTCAAAAAATAAAATTATATAAAATTGAGGCAGAGAGGAGGTAGATCAGGACGGGGGAAGTTTAAATATGTATAGTTTTCAAGTTTACTCAACTAAGTTGCCAAATAGGGATGGATACACGCATGAATTACGATGTTAAAGGCATGATACAGTAATGAACTTATTGCATTTCTTGATGTAGGTTGCTCAAAGGATAGGAGTCCGGGTCTGAACAGGACTATTCCCTTCCAACAACTTGCTTGACGACGACTTTCTTTCATTGTATATATAGAGAGGCTTCTCATCTGTATTTCTTCGTAACTAGTTGTATATATTCTGCTTTTTTGTAATCTGTATGAGAGATATCAGAGACAAAGATATACAATTACTTTAACTTCAGAATAAATGGCAATAAAAGAAAATTTTTACTGAGAGCTTTTTGTTTTTCTATTCTGCATATATATGTATATATGTTTTCACAAGATAGCTTCCGTTAGATAGATAATTAAATGTTCGCATAAGTATGTCACAAAAATAAATTTTCATCACCCTTATAGGTTTGGTACAAATGAATGGAATGAAGTGGGAATGAAATGAGAGTGAGAATGAAATATAAAGTTGAATGAAATGGAATATCTATTCTCATTTCATTGTTTGGTTGCCAACATGGAATGACATAAGAATAAAATGATAATTCTCATCCTCATATTTAGTTATGCCTGTTAAACTAATTGAATGAAATAAGTTTTTATTTATTATATATTTATTTTTAATAAGGTAGCAACAAAGAAGTTAAAAATTTATATAGATCATGATAGTGTTGATAGTTGTAGAAGAGATAGTGTGAGCCATGGTAGTGGTGGCGACGATGACAGCATCATCAGTGGTGATAGAAGTGATAGTAGGATGGTGGTGGTGGCGGCGGTGGCGGCAACGGCAGACAACGTTATAGAGTGGTAGTTCTCATGATAGTTGTGGTTGTGTGGTTTTTGTGAACATGGTGGTAGTGGTGGTAAGATAGTGGTTGTGGCGGTGGAGACAATGGTGGTGGTGGTGGAAGCAGTGGTAGTAGGGTAGTGGTTCTAGTAATAATGGTGGTAACGGTGGTGGTGGTTTGGTGGTTGTAGAGGTAGTGGTAGTGATTGTGGTCACAACTATGGTAAAGTGGTCGTGGTATGGCGGTGTGGTGGTTGTATGGTAGTGGTGGCAATAGGGTTAGGGGGGGTGGTTGGGGTGTTGGTGATGGAAAAAGATAACTAAGGACAAATTTTTTTAGAGAAAATGTGGCATTTTTGGGTGTTCCCAAACAGATATGGTCCTACCTTGTTAGGGAAGGTGGGTTTATAGCTAAAAAGCCACTATAAATTCTTATATTACTCTTTATTTAATGCATTTTTTTTTTGGGTGTAAAAAGTTGAAAAGAAAGCTATAATAACTTATTCCTAAATAGCTCCTAAATAATTATGTGTTCATAAATAGAATTTTAATTTAAAAGTTCAGCAGTATAACCAATGTAATGAAAGAAAATAAAAATCGTAGCACGTTCATCAAAATGAAACTGAATGATGATACACTGTTGCTGCTTTTGCAATTGTAGCACGTTCAGAAGTCTCACAAGTTTCTTCATTTTTTCCTTCCTGTTGCTGCTTTTGCAATTATTCTTCTTGTTACTACAACAAAGGAATACAAAAAATAAACAAATAAAATCACTTCTTCTTCTTCTTGTTGCAACATAGGAATACCGAAAAATAAAAAATCAAGCAACTTTGATTGATAAACAAATACGGAAAATGTAAACCCCCCCCCCCCCCCCCCCCAAAAAAAAAAAAAAAAAAAAAAAAAAAATCCCACAAATGCAGAATATGGAGGAATTAGGTAGGTGGTCAAACATAAGATATGGATGATGTTGTGGAAATCATGACATGTTGAGAAAATCATAGCCTATTGAGGAAATCATGGATTTAGATTATCTCTCTCTCTCTCTCTCTCTCTCTCATGTGAATAAACCTATAAATAGGTCAAGAGAGATACAAAGAAGACATCCAACACAACTCTCACAATGTGAATTCTAGGAGTAGTTTCTATCTAGGAGTAGTCACTTATCATTTTAGAAGTAGATCAATAGCTTGTTACTATTTCTCTGTCAATCAGTGTATTTCTTGAGTGTTTGTTCTTGTTTAAGTTCATGTGACTTGTGACAATTCCATTTGATTAATACAAATTCAGTTCCTTTGTTTCTCTATATTTCTTCTTTACTTAATTGCCTCCAAGGAAGTCCTTAATTTGTTTAAGGCATAGAACTCAACCAAGTTTGATTTGTTTTGTTTTGTAAAAATTAAGTTTTGTCTGTTGATTGGCTAATGTCAATTGACCTTAACTAAATTTTTGCTAACATAAATTGGCATGCTTGGTGGGACATTTCTAATTTGGAGTTATGGGAATGAAGAAGTAGACTGATGTATATGGAATCATGCCTTCAAGTGGCATGTTTACATCCTGTGCACCTATGGATGCAAACCGCCAATGGAGTGACAGTGTTTCCATAGATACAAATTATCAATGGAATACCTCATATTTCATGTCTAAAGATTGTCAATGTTATGGTGGTGGTTCTACTATTTATTACCAACATAATGGCATGACAAGTGATGAAGAAAGAATGATTCGACATTGTAAGAATGAAATTTATTAGTGCGGGAGTGAAACTTTGGCCCTAAAAGAAGAAATTAATTCTCTTTACAGACAAATATTTCAAATAATTTCATCATCTCTGTATTGTTTGACGCAAACAGATTTAAATTACTTCGATGAAAAAATTCATCAACTTGAAGGCCAAATTTCCCTAATTGATGAAGAAATTTGATATTAGAGGCAAAAATTAGAAGGCATAATAATGGCTAATAAAAAATTAAAGTATGAAAATAATGTGGTTCGAAAGGTTAATATACCTATTTTTAGAGAGCCAATTATTTATGAAGTGCCAAGATATGTGACTCGAGAGGTTAATGCACCTACTTTTAGAGAGCTAATTATTCATGAAGAGGCAAGATATGTGGCTCGGGGAGTTGATATACCTGTTTTTAGATAACCAAGTCGTAAAGATGAAATGACTAAGGAAGGTTTTCATAAGCTATTAATGGTCAAAAAATAAGAACAACCCGTTCTCTAAAAAAATATTAAAAATACATCACAAAATGATGGTGAAAATTTACTTGTGAGGCATGATTTTTTGCCAAACATGACAATGAGTGGTGAGGCATTAATGGCTAAAAAGGAAAAACAACTAGATTTCTCAAAAAAATATTAAAAATACATCGTAAAATGATGGTGAAAGTTCATTAGGGGGCATATTTTTAGCGAAACATGGTAAAGAGTGATAAGCCATTAGTGGCTAAAATAGAAAAACAACCCCTCCTCTCATAAAATATTGAGAATTAATCACAAACTAGTGATGAAGATTCACTTGGGGGGCATGATTTTAGGCCAAAGATGATTGAAAATTACGAGCAATCCACGTTTGTTGAATGTGAATTTGCTGACATTTTCAAATTGTCAAAGTTTATGAATTTTTCATGACATTCAATTAAGTGAGTTTGGAATCCAACATCCACTTTGGATTAGTGGATCACACAAAAAATTAACCTTCATGACATGGTTTGAAAAACAAAAATGGTTGAAAAATGTTATTTGTAATGAATTCTCTTTGATTAGCTAAAACATGGCTAACAAAGAAAGGTTTTATTTGAAAAAAAAATAAGGGATGTGACTCTCTATCATGTTATTCAACAAAGCCAAAGGTGAGTACCCACCAAATTTGTTGGGATCTAGGGATCCCACCTAGGATGTCCAGAGTATACATTCATGCACCAAACAACCCATACACATAAAGAAGACAAACAAATTTAACGTGGTTCGGCTCAATGCCTATATCCATGGGAGAGTAACCAAATTTCACTATAGATGGAGAGAATACAAAGATTACAATGGAGGAGGGAACACTCATCCTCGCTCAACCCACACTCAACTCACCCTCTTACATCGACAGAGCAGCCTCTCTCACACAGAGGGCCAATCTCTTTTATTCTCTCATTTTGCTCTCTTGGTTTCCCCCCTCACTTGTCTACTCTCTCTACCTCTATTTATACAAAAATTGGAGAGCCTAAAGTCAAGCTTGCTTACCGACTAGCCACTGACGAGCCACTGACGACATTGATGGCAGCTACCAACACAATCACCCTATAACATGATAGATTAACTAAAAACCTCCTGCTCAAATCTGCAGTTGCATTCTTTTCTTCATTTTGCAGCTTTCTTTGACTTTTAATGGCTTCCACATGCGTCGTTCCTTACATGGAGTAAAAACCCAACAATCACCCCTTTCTGCTTATGTGGGGTGATGTGTCGTAACAGCAACGTTGCAAATCCTATCACGTGCAAAACTAGCATAGTCTGCATCTCCACATTGAGACGCCTGCACCCCCTAACAAAAAATACTCGGCACCCCCTCATCCGGGTGTCCATGGTAGAAGCTAGAGATAAAACACCAGAGAAATACAGAGATACAAGAGGTGTAGTGAATCCAACATCCTCAACTCTACTCACACCACCCTCTGATTATCTCTTGAAGAGGGCCCTTGCTCTATCTCACACTTCTCTTCCATGCTTCCCTGTCACGAGTGTTTTCACCTACCATGCTTGAACCTCCGTGATCAAAATATCTGGCACCCCCTAATTGGATGCCCTACACCCACTGCTTAGGATGCCCTACACTCCCTTGAGTGCACTATGACACTATAGCTCTTCTCTGAAATGCGACTAACTTGCCATGCACCACTTTGCATGGTCAAAACTGGAGCAACAGAAAACTCTTCGTTTGCTTGGTCAACATTTCCGGTTTTCTTTGCTCGAAGCTTCCATCTGAACTATCAGCATTTGCCTTTTGCACTTCTAAACAACCCTCCCAGCATTTCCACATGTTTGTTGTATGTGTCCTTTGCAATCCCTGATCTCCAGTTCAGTGATGCACTTCACCTACGCATCTCTCACTTGTACTACCAAACTGACGGTTGACAGTAGCTCCTTCTACCAAAGCAGTTTCAACAGGTCTGTAAAAGTCACCAACTATGCAATACCTAGCATAGTAACTGCACCCATATTTTTCGAGTGCCCATCATGGCTTCATCTTTCCTCCTACACTCGAGCTCACCTGAGAGATCCGCAACTACTCTGTTTCATCAAGAGGTGTGTTCGCCGCCACGGAACCAAAACCAACCATTCAGTCAAAATTGAATGCCATCTGCTGTACAAAACACAAGTCCTCTTCCAAAGAATATAGTAAATTCCATTACTCAAAAAAATATTGAGCCAATGCACAAAACATGCAGAACCAATCGAGCTAGCTCTTTCAATTTTTTGCAACTCAAGCTACACCATCGTGCCAAATTTCGATTTCATAATTGCTAACAAGTTGTCCTTGACAACTCAAAAAAAAAAAAATGGTGAGCAAATTTGTTTGAACCAATGTTTAGGAGACTAAACAAGAGATGCTTCAAATTCTCCGAAGCTTGAACTAATCACAAGAGCCAACAAATACTCCGAGAACTGAAACAAGTTCTCCACCAAATAAAAGCTAGACTGTGGATGCAGTCAGACTCTAACCAGTTCGAAAGTACCAGAACAAACTTTAGATGAACAAACAAAAAACAAGAGCTAAAAATTTTGAAATGTCGAGCAAACTCCAGATTCCTCCATCGACAATTCCAACCGACAGATACAAGATGATACACCATCTTTACAGTTACCAAAACTGCCCAAAGGCGCATGCATTGTAGGTGCACTATTCCAACAGTCCCTATTGACTCCATCAAGTCAACATACAATCTATCACCTCCAAATCCAACGGTAGATTGAGGGATGGATCCCAAAACATAAGATTCAAAATCAGCTTCAATCTTCAATGAACAACAACGATCACACTGCTTCCATAGAAGCAAACACACAGAGTCTAAAACGTCACTCAAATTGCTAATAGTTGATGCCTTTGAATATGGAACAGATTGCAAAATTGACAATCACAAGAGGAAGAAACGATCAAGTCTCATGAACCAATGGATCTAATCAAACACAATCATAGATCCCAAATGTGATAGTGAATCTCAACAAAACACGACTTCAAAAAAGTCACCAATAATCCATGAAAGACCGCCAAAACAATGTCTCCAATAGACATTGCAAAAACGAACGCCAAAGCTCCACCAAGATTTGAAGTAGATTGCCACAACTTCTCCTTCAAATTGACAAATGCGGACACTAAGGCTTCACCATATGCAGGTATTTCAACAATGATCAATGAAGGATCTCTAACACCTCCACAGAGGCTAATGCCAATAAAGTACTACTATTTGGACTTCTCATACATGCCAAATCTTCATAGTACATTGCCAATACCGGTTCTCTCTACCTCCCAGAGAGATCCCAATGAACTATGAAGTTCTACAACTGACCCGAGAGTCTCCAAATGAAATGAGAACTTCTAACTCTGAAGGGTCTTCAAATTGGCTTCAAATGGGTGAATAGAATTTATCACCCCAATTACCTATATGGGTGATACAATGCCGTTGTACAAACACGCCTCCATTCCATCAAGCATTTGGAGTGACACTACACCTCC